GATGGCTTGGGCATGTGTTGCGAATGCCTCCAGAAAGGAAGGCTAAGCAACTGTTCCTTGCAGATCCGACTGGCAGAAGGCCCAAGGGACGGCCAAGATTAACGTGGTGCAGAAATATGGAAGGAGTCTGTTCGCGACTTCATTTGTCTTTTGCCAAAGCTCAGACTCTGGTGCAGGATCGGGAACGTTGGAAGCTCTGTCTGACGTGTCTGGTTCTGCGACCCGAAAGGACAAGCGGCGATGGAAGATGAAAATGAAGATGAAGATATGAAAATGAGGATGAAGATGAGAAAGATACGATATTAATTCACATTAAAAATAGCTGGCACATTAGGCAGCTTAGAACGAAAATAAATTAAATTCCTTCAGTGCAGTTTTATGCATGCGGTAGTTGAACGTGTTAATAATTTTAAAAAGTTTGAAAATCTGAAGGTTGAACTGGAAAGGATGAAGAGGACTTTATTTGAAAATGTTTTCAAACAGTATCAAGGAAGCGTAGGATGACACTGCTCGTGTATCAAACATCTGTTTGTCTTTTTACATCTTCCACTGCTCTCATAAACATTGTTATAGAATCAGTGATCTCCAATCCACGAATAAACAGTGTGAATCATTGGTTCAAAAGTTAGATTCACTCGCCAAGCAATAACTCTGATAAGTGACTACAAGTGGCAAACAAACAAGAACATAAACACAGGCTGACAAACTGACAGGTATGGAAGGCAATGGAAGCTTCACGGTCCAACCATATAAATCGCCAGGCCAATGCATGAGGATAACCCAAGCAATGAATTGAGCATGAAACCGTTTCGCAACTTACTGGGTTGAGAGCCGCCAGAGTTTTGAAACTGTTTGATACAGATATCTTCGCACTGCTCCTCGCTATCGAAGTTGTTATCGTTACCACCACAGCCGCCGTACGTGAAGCGTTCACAACTTAAGGTTCGTGAGTTGTAGTACCAGCGACGAAAGTTGCCTCTGCAAGGTCCGGAATCTACGGGCCGGCTGCACATCTCTGCAATAAAATCCAATCCATAAATCGGAAACGGAACTACCTTGAAATTCGTGATGAAAATAATTCATTATTGTAAAAATTTTAACTGATGGGCAATCACGGTCCTGAAAACAGCAGCTTTGAGTTGGAAAAGATTCCCGATGGGATAAATAACGCAGTGATTGAGTTAGAATAGTGTCAGATGACGCATCTTACTTGGCTTTTTGTTGTAGCCCGTAGACAAACCAGAAAGCAAACCAGAACTGCAAAACACTTCAACTGTAAGTAACTTTGCATTTTACTGACTCGCTGAGTCTATATTACATGATACATTAACAGTACTTAAATTTTTAAAAGGGGCGAAGTTCATTCATATAATCTTATATAAGAAAGCCTGTGAAACAGCTTATCCAGCGAAAAGTCTCTTGCAGGACTAATGCCACTATAGAGATAGGTAGGTAATAGATAGACAGTTTGCCTCAAGCCTCGGAATTTGTAGATCTGGTTACGTTAAGAGCGAGTACACGTGGCGAACAGTGAAAAAGTATATGAGGAAAAAATACTCTGTAGCACTCTTCCGTTGACCTTCGTAAGAAAAATCGACCATTTAAGCTCCATTTACGATACCAGTCTGGTAAGGAAAGGAGGCATGTTAGCGGCTGATAAATTTTATCCATTTATATTTAATGCATATGATCCTTTAAGAATGAATTGCAAAAGAGCCCATTTCTTCAATAGTTATTACATGCATGATTTCCTATTATTGCTTAGTTTTATTAGTTGTTAAATCGAAAAACTTACGAATCTGATGGCTACTTCAATCATGTACTTCATGAACTAAATAGGGAAAAAAATTCAAACCACCCTAAATTGCACATACGGAGGTCACTACTGAGCATGAAACGTTTCTGAGCAATGGCTTTTTTGTACTGATGAAATGGCTCCCCTGCCTGCAATGCTGAAAACACATGAACTGCAAAATCCCATAGATGAGAAAATATCGAACTGGTGGCACCAGTTCTGCAGTCAGTCAGACGCTACGAACTACAAGTCAAAGTGTACGTGACTCACTTCGGCCTCCAAAACACTCCGTCTGGCATTCCGATGCACTTAGGAAATTGTTGCCGTTGCCTTTGCACCCGCCGTAACGGAACTGCTCACATGTTCTACTTACCGGATTGTAATAGTAGCGAATATCAAAGCCGTTGCAGGGCCCCTGATCTGGAGGCAAAATGCACACATCTGTAAACAGGAAGATACATTGCTCACTAATTACTAGATTCACTATGCGAACTTTCACTCACCTGTCTCACTGTACACTATGCGCAGTAAGGCTAAGAGAAAAATCGCCAACATCATCGCCCGCTAGCCGACTCTTCGACGCCACAACGAAACTAACACTGACTCTGGCACTGGAAAAGCTACCACCTCCTCAAGATAAAATCCTCTATGCAAATGCACTGCCACTGAAACGTTGCTCTTGGGAGGACTTTCGAGTATCGCAGCGATCAGCGCAAGACCGCCCTAAAGTTGTGTTCCGTTCAAGTATACAGCAGCAATTGCGTTTCCAGCGGGCACAACAGCATTCACTGATCTTGACGATGTATTACACTGACTTTCACAGAGAGGTAATATAGATTAAATGACTGACTGCACAGGCCAACCACCAAAGAATATGAGTGATCGTTATCGTATCTTTTAGTCTTCTGCACGTTTCCAGGCCGCATCCAGAATTTGCATGCTCCGGTCACTGAACTAATATTTCATAGAAGAACGTACCAGGAGATGTTGCGGATGCAAATTGCACTCTCACGGATACTAAAGCGCAGAAGTTCTTTTGGCAAGAAAGTCGGGGTTGGAGAAATGACGTATATGAAGATGCCGCCTATGTAAATTAGATGTGAAGTCGTGAGCAATCGTGAAGAGCTTTACCATGATTCTATTTGACAGACTACTCTTCGTGGCGACTACTCATCGTCTAGTGATTATGAAGAAATCTAAATCTGTAATCAAGCACTGCTGTTTGTACAGTGATGATAATTGTTATCCATATGCAGCATTTTAATGCCCCTCGACCATTATAGATTCTAGGTGACGGATTAGCAGGATAGTCGTGCAGTCAGACTTTTCAGTACAGTAAAATTGGACGACAATTATATAGCGGGCTGCTAAAATTAACATTAATGCAAACTGAAGAGAGTGAGAGGAAAATGGAATACAAAAACAGACAGGTGTTCTATTCGAAATCTGAAACGAAGATTCTGAACTGAGTGAACACTAATATCACAACGAATATATGCTGATAATTATTATACGGATGGTGGTAGTTTTGTACTTGATTTTGAGTTTGCTGAGAAAAATATCTGCTATCTAACGGGCATTTACTGCATTTAGCTATCAGTTCTCTCAAGGTTAGACACAGTGCTGGAACAAGTTTCAAATTTTATGTTCCTTTCAAACTGCGGCTTTTCTATTTAAATTGCTTCAGTTTGAAACAAACTGAGCAAACAGATCAGACTATACTTTCATCTCGCTCACGATGAGGTCCATGGTGCCATCATGGGATTATCTCCTTTACCGTCTTTGAATAACATCAAGAAAAGCTTGAAGAAAAGAGTTATTTAAGATAATAATGTCTGAAATGCAAATAACCTGTCTCAGGTTTATTCCAGGATAGCTAGGCGACTCTATTTCCAGCAACGTTTTGACACGACACTTTTTTCGCATTTTACTAATCAGTGATAAATGTCTCCCTCGATTTCAGGTAGTACACAGCGTGTTGAAAAAAGTAGTGCATCTCTTTTTATGTGCATAGTCGTTTCCGACCTGCTGAACATTTGCTGAAGCGACATTTTGCTCTTCGTGGTAAAATAGATTTACCATAGTCTGCAAGCGTTCCCCGCACCGCTTATAGAAGTAGCTTTAACGAAGTAGATGATATCGTCCACTCATTCATGAAACATTTTGTACTGAATACAAACTGTTTGCGCTATCTTCGTCACAGGTAGAATTCAGCAATGAATTTTTCGCGCTAAATCATCCTTAGGTGGTACAACAAGTAATTCAGACAAACCGCGATTAACAGCTTTCCTTCCGCTGGGTTTCGTCGAGTTCGAGAAGAATTTCTATGCAATCAGGAGCCAGGGAATCGAGAAAAAGATACCGAAGACGTAACGTGATGATTTATAGGAATGCAGCTGCTGGTGTTAAGCTTTACGAAAGCACGATCAAATTTTAAATCGACAGGGAGAAACAATGAATCGAGATTATTCACAGGTTTTCACGAAACTCCGTAGGGAAAATCAACGACTGAACATAAATGGGCACTAACTAAGCCATCTTGGAGTTGCAGACGAAAGGTTTGATCCTTTCGAAAGACTCCTAAAAAGGACCCAAGGGATGCACGCTGCTAGCATTCTAGTACGACTGAAAGTGAACTTGAAAACTACTCAGGTCATACTTACATGTTGGTGATCCCGCAATCTGTTGAAGCGAATAGACTTAGGCTTGAAGAGGTGCGAAACTACTTCAATCTAGGACAGCTCACCTCCGCAACGAGAAACCGACTCTGCAAGATAAGCAGAAGAGCAAAAATCACATGG